GTGCGCAGTCGGTGCGCAACCAGTGTGCAGTCATTGCGCAGCCGGTGCGCCGCCTCATAACGGATCTATTAACGGCCTGCTAAGTTTTATATTCATTAACCTTTGTACTTAATTCTCTACGCCAGTGATCAAATTTTGTTAGTGATTTTTATTTTGTCCGCACATTGTGATTTTTTTACCCCCGACAGTTTTGTAATGAAATGCGGCTATTTAAAAGTGTGATGTATGGCAGGTAAATTGCATGGGAATGAAATTGTGGCTTGAAAGAGCATGTGATCAAAATTAATTATGTACGCTTCGCCGTAATTTATGAGTGAAGTAATATGAACAAAATGTATGCTGTAAATGTTGGTAGCACAATTAAGAGCCCATATAATGTCATCAGAGAATTGTTGTGATTAACTAAATAAGGGCTATGTAAAACGCTCCTGTTGGGAGTGATATGCACATAAATGCAAGGGAATATATCATGCAAAAAAAGTCCATAAACACTGTCTAACCCTCTTGGTGACAGGCGTGAGTCGTATTTTTACATTTTTATCTTTTAAAAAGTGTCATGATTATACATTTTATTTGTTAGCGTTTTCACTTTAGACCTGTACTAGTTTTCTTGACTGAGTATGGTTTTTCTAGCAAATATAAATGCGTTTGTACAAATTGTACAAATAATTTTTTTTAGACGTGTTATTCGTGTACTCTTACATAATTTAAAGTACAGTTAGGTTACTTTTGCTAATGGCAATAATAATTATAGTTTATCTTATATTTCGTTTACACAGGCTCGCCAGAATTTCAGTGTATTGGTTCCTTAACTTAGCTATTTTATATAACGATTCCTATGCACACAAATATCTAGTCAATTTTGAAATTAAACGCCCCGACGCCGCGTCGGTGTGACGTAACAGTCGAGTCCGCAATTTTGTTACTTTTAATACACAGAAGTACATAATTATTATATAAACAATATTTTTGTCCATTTTAGTCTTAGATTATTTTGTAGTCAAATTGGTTCTTTTATTTTATTTGGCTAGTGGCCAGTATTATACCTGGAACTGGGCGTCGCCAGAAAGATAAGAAATATGTAAAATAGATATGAAAAACACTAAAATGGTAGCTGCTACTCCAGACCTAACCTAGATGTTCGGTTGGCGACGCCTATGCCTGGAACTATTGTGCTAAACTGTAAATTATAATTTTTATAACTTTTATTTGATCTGATAGCAATGTTTTTTCTGTCTTCCATACATTTGTAAACACTTAAATTACAACAATAAGCGAAAATTTACGTTTTCATTTACGTATTTAAAATTAGCGCAGATCGAGTTCTTTTGTAGCCTTACTTTTAAATAAATTAAAGGTACTTAAATATCTGTTGCCATATTGTTTGCCACATGAATTTAGTTTCGTGATATTTTTAACTGTTTCTATTTAATTTATTTATCTATACGGAACCCGTAACGATGCCGATCATTTCCGAGTGCAAAGCAGTTTTTTTATTTGTAGTTGGATAGGGGAACTATTTTAAGATATTGCACATTGTGGAGTCACAGTGGCCTTCGATGTAAAAAAATGCCTTGTTTAAAAGCAATTTGAAACCCTATAGGTGAGGACGCGTAAAGCCCGCCACAAACGGTTAATTTTGACAGTTTTAACCAAACAATTAAACTCTTCAGTTGAAACTGTACGATTATAGGCAACATTATAACTGATAGTTGAACTGTACAGTTAATGTTAAGCCTATACATGTACAGTTCTAAGTAAACTGTTCAGTTAAAACCGTCTGAACTAAACGTATGTGTCGGGTTGTATGTAACGCTAGCGCGCGGTCGTTTCCCGCTCAAAATGTAGTTATGATCTATTTGAGATTAAAAAGGGCGCAACGCGAGAACAGCACAAGAGTCCAATATGAAAACACCCGATAGGAATTAGATAGTGTTAATTTAAATGTAATTATAATATAAGGTAAAGAATGGTTCTTGTTTTAGGTTAAGCGAAGAGCAATGATATAAAAATAGTTTGTGTAATATGAATAAGAGATGAAATTAAGATGCAAACTATTGGTTGTGAATTCCGACACAATTTGTTAAGTTGTTCGTAGATTTGTCACAGAGGATAGTTGTCGAAACTTAATTTACTTCACGATAAGACCCTTTTTTTACTTTTTGTTTTTTTTTAATATTTTTTTACTCGTCGTTCTCGTTTGTACATCGCTAACAATAATTGTACAGAGTACTTTTGGACTTAATTTAAGGCAATAAATGTATTTATTTTATAACTCGTGATGTAAGAATTTATTCTTAATTATTATAAAAAAAAATATATAATATGCTTGTATACTCATGTTTTAATTACCTATTTTACTAATGAATAAAAATATGCACTACACCATGCCAAATTTAAGAAAGCTAATAATATCTTAAAGAAGAAAAGCCCCTTCCTATGAGTTCTCTTCTCCACCGAATCCACTTTGGAATCTTCTTATATAGGAAAAGGATAAGTCAAAGCCACGGCTAGTGTTCTGTGGTTACGGGTGATCTTTAGCTGAGCCTATGTTCTAACGCATCGAGAGAAGTTGACCCCATCGAGCGCTTGTGTAACACTACCTTAAGAGAGGGGCACACTTGACCGCTAACACAAGGAAAACAGAAGGCTACACTCAAGTTGAATTCTACATTTGAAATAAAAATAATAGTCAAGTATTATTGATATATTGGAGCGAACTCTAATGTCGTATTAATATAATAATAAATAATAGACTTTCATTTTTTATCTGTATTCACTATTCATGCAATTGACATAATCTGCAAAACCATAGAGCAAATATATAATACAGATGTAAAATCTAAAATCTTTGACAATCGTGTACTTTTGCAAACTCTTTTGACAATTATGATTTAAATTACGTAACAAAAATACTTTTATAATATTCTAGTCGGTAGTAAAATAATGTGTCATTGTTACTTAAAAATTAAGAAAATTGCTTTTTGGCTCACCTTGACAAAAGTATAATTTATTCACTAATTTTTCGAAATTAAAAAGTATGGTCTTGTCTATGGAATCACAGAACGGAATCTTGTAAAAGATTAGGCCATTTCATAAAACAAATGTATAGTAACTCGCAGAAAATATCTTCGGGACAGTTGTATTTATTTCAGCTTTGCATTTTGCTTTAAATTGAATTGTAAACCGCATTGTAGGTCCTTTGGAAAGGATTAATCTTCGACTCTAGCGGAAGGGTTAGCAGTCTCGATTCTGCAATAGAAAAAGATTTGCACTGAGAGAAGACGTAAGGTAAACATCGATTTATTTTGTCCTAAAATGGAATCAGGTGACGAATCTAGAAAACTATAGTTTTTTTAAAGCAAATTTATGGTACCTTGATTGTTTATAATTATTTTTAGTGCATCCTTGTACGAAATGAAAGTTTGACTTTTGCCACATATTCTATTGGATGGCAGCTGGCTTCTAGTATTTTGCTAGATTTCGGTCATGTAAATCAACAGGAATAATTTAATTTAGACGTATTAATCTTTATTTTGGTCATGGTGAATCAGATGATGGCTGTAGGGATTATTTAAATTCCCGTTAAATCTCCAAGAAGGGATTGTTTTTCGACAATAAAATGTCAAATCGTGAACTTGTCAAAGCTGGGTTGAGTCATTGTTAAAGATTCATTTATAACAAAGTTATTGTTAACATATACAAAACACTGTTTACTATTACATAAATTCCTACTAGGCTTTACAGATAAGTCAAATTTGTTATCAGTAAATATGTTTTTATGTTTTTTTTCCTACTATAAATTCTTTAATATAAATTAAAATATTGATTTTTTTCATACATTTATCAATGAATCACTTACAAGGAAACTTTCTTACTAAGAAATACCTTGATTAAACAATCAAATGATTTATATTGACAGAAAACATTACAGAACATCTTATGGGTATGAGGTTAAAATTAATTGATATATAAAATAGTAAGGATAAGATAGTATTCATGTCTTAGTATTTACATTATTTTTCTGTACATGAATTAATAACTTATTGTTAAAAATTTATATTATAGTTCCTGGTTAGTATAACCTATTTTCTAAATAGAAATCGAGAATGTTAAATAAAAGTAATTTATGTGTAATTCTAACAATTTAAGTACATATTGATATTTAGTGACTTATTAAATTGCTTTTGAAATTATACACAACATTACTCGGTTCTTTTTTCTGTACTTAAAATATGACAATTATGGGACAGTCAAAATGTCTTATGCCGAAACTACAGCCATCATATTTAATTCACTCCCTACTTCAAGTATCCTCTTTCATACAATCTTTATACTTTGTTATTTACATTATGAGTTCACATTGTTAAACATTTTGAAAATTGCACTATGATTTTTTCTCTCTATAAAATAAGAGATCTTTCTGTAATGCATTATCATTCAAAACTGGCATCTGGCATGCCTATCTAGGCATTCCAATTTTTCCTAGATATCTTATTGGAATCTGTAAAGATAGGTAATCTATTTTCATATAAAGTTTACTTAAAATTATTTGTAATCTTTAGTTTTAAGAAGCATAAAATATAACAGTGCTTGCTTGTGATTTCATCTGTGCGGAATTAAAATATCTAGTAATAAACATAGCCTGTTTTACTCAGTGGTAATGTAGGTTTCTAATAGTGACAGAATTTTGTAAAAAAAAATTTTAATCATGTATACACCAGTGCTTGACCAAGATCCCACCTAGACCAAAGTGAAGATGTGGTCAAAGGATGGTATGCACTAGTAAAATTAGTCCAATCGTTTTTTAGCTAACTCATTACATAGAGAAATACAAATCTTTAATATTAGTATTATAGATATTGTAAATTAACCTAAGAGTGTTTTATTTTCATTATTTTTGCATTTAAAATAACTGACATATAATGTAGGTACTATAATATTTGTAGAATACCTTTGGTTCTTTTTATTTCTTTTATTTATTTCACAACAACCAAAAGTATACCAAAACTAAGCTTATTAAGTACAAAATTTTCTTTCATGTTATTTAAAATTTATTGTGTTGTGAAATATTGATTAAATTGGTATTTTAATGAAGTTCAAAATACCAAATTATTGTCCAATATTACACCACTAAAATACACTACCATTTATCTATGGTTGAAATGAAATATGTAAACTTCAAATTTTCTATACCATTGACCCATATCATGAAGATTGTATAAAATAATTCTTAACTTTTATACTGTTTTCATAGGATAGTTCATCACCAACAATCTGCCCTTACCCCTTCATGGTGTCGGCACAGTATGTACTCCATGCATCACTAACAGAGATCAGAATTCATCCCCTACTTATGCATTCTCTTATGCACAATCTAACCATACTTTTATTTACCTCTGTAGCCATCTATGTTCTTATTAATTCGTTCATGTGATCATAAACTCCACATAATCCATGCTATTTTATTAATTTATCCTTAAAAATCATCATTTACTTTGACACAAGACTAAGGAAAAAAGTTATTGCAATATATTTTTGTATAGTACATTAATTGTCACAAACAACATTTAAATGTGTGCAATTTAATTAATAAGGATACACTTTAACACCAAATTCCATAAACATTTTCACATTTATCAGTTTGTAAATGGCATTTATAAATTGTAAATATTAAAAGCTAACTGTTCCCGTGCGGCTTCATCTGCATAAAATTATAAAAAATTCATTATATTGTTTACATGTGTCAAATTATCAATTGCAAATGTCAATATGACAAACCATGGCAACCTTGCTTTCTTGATGTTGGCAGCAACTTGTGGTCTCTTTCGCACATTAGGGTTTTTATCCAAAATATTTACCCCCTAAGTTTAACGGTGTTAAAATATATAGTCTAAAGTGTGACGTAAGTGTAGGGCTTTTTATTGAAAAAAGGATTATTCAAAAATATGCTGTAACTGCGGACATCTTAGGCAACAAAGAAGTGTGTGTTTACGCTTTATTATAATAGTATAGATTTGTTTCAGTATTCAGCCTTCAGTGGACGTTTTCAACCTATTGACTCTGATTTATATGTGCTAAAGATTGAATTTATCAATGTCAGTATAAAATTATGCTTAAATCTTATCACAAATGTTTGTATAGGTAATAATAAGAATGTTTATCATATCGGATAGAATTATTCACACATTTACCTTATCATTACTATACAGGAAATAAATAATGTAATAGTACAATGATTGGAAAGCTTTTCATCAAAAAAAGAAAGCGAGGATTCGATTCCTGATAGCCCTTTAGAGCCTTATAAATTAAAAATTAATTTAAAGATCAAAGTGTACTTTAACTGTTTTATACAATCATAACTTAGTATCACAGCTATCTTTGCATTTACCTTTTTTTTTATTATTTCACTATATGTCTTAAATATATGATTTTCATTGTTTATCTGCTATTTACATTTCTATCTACTTATATTAAATCACCCTTTATACTAATATTATAAATTCGAAAGTTTAGTTAGATGTTTGTTAGAGTTTGTAGCTTAAAACAGCTGAATGGATCTGGATGAAATGAAGCATAGATATAGATTATAGTCTGGAAGAATATGTAGACTACCTACTTTTGTTTTTTTAAATTCCATCAGATGAACTTGCAGGCTAAAGCAAGAGTAATATAATATTCACTTGCAATAATTTTGGTATTACTCTTATTGTTGGCGACTTTTAATAAGAGTAATGCCAAAATTACTTAACAATTCTTTTGTAATTCTTCAATAAACATTAAAATGTATATATATGTGACAAACTGTATATAACAAAGATTTGTAAACATTAAAAATAAAGGATTCTGAAATGTAGCATTTATCATATGTAGATTTGTTCAGATATTTGCGTCACTGCTACAGACTTGAGATGAAGGGATCAATAATGAATTATTAATAAGACTAAATGAATAACAATGACCGTCTACATTGTCACATTAGGTGAGGTTGTGGTCGTGCTTTATTCTCTCTAAAAATAGGTAAATCAAGACATTTTTCGGATTATAAGTGCACAGTCAGCAATTCAAATTTTCCTGTATGACAAATTAAGTGATTTTGTGTTGTTTTTTTCATATTTTAAATGTTAAATAACATTTTTTTTTATTATTAGGTCCTTTCGTTGTGTTGGTTTTAATATGATTTAGTATACTGTTATGTATGCATACTATTTTATTAAACATTTTGTAAAAAAAAAAAACAGAAAAATAAACTTTCATATATTGTTTTGTTTTATGTGTTAAAAAAAAGTAAGTGATGACCCCTTAGCTGTCGCCTTTCTAATGGTTGCTTACGTAATACTCATCATAGCCACGATAATACAAGATGTGTGTCGTATACGTAGCATCCATTCACTTGTTGCGAAATTCTTTTATATTTAGCAAATTTTTACAATATTACAGTACAGCGGTTAAAGGGTAGTCGGTGTCCTAGGTTCGATTCCGGTAGAGAATTCTTTTCTCGCGTATTATTATGAAAAATATGTAATTATTAAAACAAAACAAAAATTAAGGCCTGTTTTAAAAATTATTTTGCCACTAAAAAGCTACGTTAGTGAGTGCCATAGGCTATGTTTTTTAATTTCGTGCACAAAAAGTCGTGAGCAACAGCTAGTTTGGAATATTTTGGTGCATTCTCGAATGTTGTAGATAATTAAGATTGATTATAAAATGATGTTTTTATATTTACTAAGATTCGATAGATTAAATAAATCGATTGAATTATTATATTGTTAGTGTTGCGAAAACGTGACGTCAATGAACGACGTATTCACAATGGGGAAGCCCTTTGGTATTGAGTAACTTTGTTGGATTTTAATTCCTTACCTGTAATTATTTTGAGCAATATGAAATAAAGTTTGACGTTTTATATAACGGTTTCGACATAAAGTTATAACTTCACACTTGTAAATCATTTTTATTATTAACAAAAAATAAGTAATAGTTTTAATTTTATAGATTTAAATTATTCTCAGTGTCAATCTTCTAATTATACTAATATGTATTTTAAATGTGATAGTTTGGATGGATGGATGTTTGCATATCTCCAAAATGGCTTAACAGATATTGAAAAAAACTTGGCAAAAATGGTGAACATACATGGAATAATGCTACTAATTTTTGTTCTCATTTTATGCCACGTAAAGTCTCGCGCGAAAACTAGTATATGTGAGTCTTCATATACGATAAACATGTTTGTTTGCAGGTTGCAGTTGATACTTGTGTAGCGTAAGCTGACATTAGTGTAAGGTGGAGGCGACTGAACTATTGGCTGCTGGGGCTAGGATGTCAGTACTGAATCAGAGTGGAGAGGAGCAGGTGACATATTTATTATTACCTATTCATCTCAGCTTCTTTGGTGGCAAAGAATATTCATATAAATATATATCAATGTCACACTATATGTTATTATATCACACTATACGTTGAAGCCGGTATGCATAAACATAGTCAAAATTATCAAAATGTGCATAAAAATAGAACAACATAGTATAGGGCAATGTCCTTTAAGGTTTTTATGAATATAGATATAAGCTTTTATTTTGTTTGTTAAATGTATTGAAGGTATCTTATTTGTTATTTTCAGGTGGAATGTCCCCTGTGTATGGAACCCCTGGAGGTGGACGATCTCCACTTCTACCCGTGCACATGTGGATACCAAGTAACTCTTTTACTATACAGTCAAAGTAGAATAGAACATATACAGGGTGATTCTTATCGAAAGGATCAACGGCTTTATGGAGTTTAAATGACTTTAAAACTATGGAAAATCCTCTAACTCCTCAAACTCTGCAAAGCTGACCCATTAAGAATCATGTATAAAATACAGTTATTTCAAGCTGTTTACATAAAATAACAATTTGCAGTATATGTTTTATTTAAATTCCAGATATGCCGGTTTTGCTGGAACCGTATCCGGGAAGGCGAGAACGGCCTGTGTCCGGCGTGTCGCAAGGCGTACCCGGAGAACCCCGCAGACTTCACTCCACTCAGTCAAGAGCAGGTACATACTGTTAGAAACAAAATTAGTACCGTGCTATAGAATTGGCGCAACTCTAGATTATCGGCATAAACGTCACGTCCCTAGCTGACAGCTGTCAATGTCACTAGAAGTATGGAGAGATTGGCGCGTAACTTGAGTCTTGACGAGAAGTATTGCTCTGAGTTAAAAGCGACAGTATCAATTAAATAAGTTGTCTGAAAATACATACATACATGTTTCGCTTCGTATAAGGCGCTGACCTTGAAATAATGGAAGATGGTAGTTGCCGCTGGTCTCTATAAATGGACAGGCTATAACACGTGATATTTTGTATCAGTTTGGTAGCGGTGGTGAGGATTTTAAGTAATAATACAATTTATTGTCAACATCTACAGGCGCTTTTATGTCGGAACAGCTCAAAGGTGTAATTTTCAAGCAATCGCCTATCCATTTATACAGATCACTATTAGTAACGATGTAATGAACGTCGATGCAGCTACAAAGTCCTGTTTCATGTAATTTAAAACAGAATTTCAGTTGCCCCTGAATTAATTCTTTTAATATATCATTTCCTCATTCAATAGAATTTTCTTGGATAAGGAAAATTGTTGATTAAAATATATAAGGAAAATTATTGATTAAAATAAGGAATAACCTAACTATATAAAAATATAGGTAGGTTATTTCTTAATTTTAATTTTAATACTTTTATTTTTCTGTATATCATATTTAAGAGTTAAATCTATGTAAAAAAAAATTGTCAGAGAATAAAGGCTTATCTTATCTTAAAGTAAAGCCTGACCAGTAATAGAAAAACCATCCAAATATTGCAGAAAAAAGTACTTTTATATTCCTAGTTTGGGTTTTTCATACATTTCATTGGAGAACAATTTTTGTTGCCTCTAAGGTCGATGATTAATCTAAACAATAGTCATATGACTGGTAAACAGTTGATCAAATCAACTGGTTCGTTATATCAACGGCTATTGTTGGTAATTGTGAATATGGTGAGCGTGGTCGTGATGCAGGTGGCCGCAATAAAGACGGAGAAGAAGGCGCGCGAGCAGAAGCGACGCAACAAGACGCTGGAGTCGCGGCGCGCGCTCGCCAACGTGCGCGTCGTGCAGAACAACCTCGTGTTCGTCGTCGGACTGCCGGTGCGGCTCGCGGACCCAGAGGTAACTACACTGTCTACTGCCCACTAGCTTATACCTTCTACCCGCTCCTACACTACCCACTACATTCTACCCGCTCCTCCATTCTACCCACTCGTACACACTAACCTACACATTAGCTATAAGTATGTAATTTCAGGTTAAATCTAGCACGTAGATAGAAATGATCAATTACAAAAATTACTTGATTAAAATCCCAAAAATATAAAAAATGGCTTCATAGTAGACTATATATAATTTTCGTCATTATTTATGTTTTGTGAATGTGTAAAATAATTTTTATCCTTGTATGAGTTAGTATGGATAATGTGTTTTTTATTTCAGATTCTAAAGCGGCAAGAGTACTTTGGCAAATATGGAAAAATACACAAAGTAGTTATAAACCAAAGTACAGCATATGCAGGCTCACAGGTGAGTATTGCTGACATAGGATAAAAATATATTTCTCATAGATTAAACATTGAGTACAAAAGTGGCAAAGAGTAATCGTTTTAGGCACAAAAATGTATGTCAATGAGTGTTATATGGTTGTTCTTGCAGGGTCCGTCGGCGTCTGCGTACGTGACGTACGTGACGTCAGCGGACGCGCTGCGGGCCATCCAGGGCGTGAACAACGTGACGCTGGACGGGCGCGTGCTGAAGGGCTCGCTCGGCACCACCAAGTACTGCGCCAACTTCATGAAGAACCAGCCCTGCCCCAAGTCAGACTGCATGTATTTACACGAACTAGGTCAGTTTGCTATTTTTTATCTTCATTTAAGAGTATAAATAAATAAATGAATGTGGGTAGAAATTACATGTTGTATTTTAATTTTATAGTTTATGTGACATGTTTCAGGTGATCCAAACGCATCGTTCACTAAGGAGGAGATGCACGCGGGCCTGCACCAGGTGTACGAGCGGCGGCTGCACAACCAGCTGTTGCAGGCGCAGCGCGACAAGCCCGACGACAAGAACTGCCATAGCACAGGTAGCGCTCACCACACGACCCACTCACCACAAAAAGTACTTACCACACGACTCATACACACTTACGGACCACGTAACGCGGTCACCATATGACGCTCTTATCACACGACACGCTCACCACACTACACACGACGCACTTACTACGACTCGCTCACCACATGACATTCTAGTATCATTAAACTTGTCACCACAGATCACACTTCCAAGTGTAATAAAGGGGACTTTTTATTAGCGCTGTGCCTTGTAACATCGTTAAGGTTCGTGTGTAGATTTGTTACTTATTATAATAAATAGGAATGTGTAATTGAAGCTGGTTAAAACAATGGATTTGATTTTATTATGGAAATCTTTCAGGTAATTCTAGTACGAATGCAGAAAAAGGCAGTTCTAAAGATGGTAAGTTTTTTGTTACATAAAAATAAATATCAAAGATGATTACAACAGATCCAATTAGACCAACTCCAATGCCCTCTGGTTCATTAGAAATTCATAGGTGCATTAGGTTTAAAAATGAACACCATCCAGTAGGAAATTGGGTCTATTGTTGAGCGCTGTAAAATCAGAATTGCAGACCACCACAATCCCTTGGTTGCAGTCTTACTACTTCTACTTTTAAAAGACACTCTATCTTCTTTAAAATTAGAAGTTTTTCGATGGAGAAAACATTCTAAAAAAATAATCTTTCCTCGCATTTTCTTAAAGTTTTAAAGACTATTGCAGATAAATTTAAAAAAAAAGATAATTCCCATATTAATAAGAAAGTAATATTTTTCTTTTTTTGTAGGTAATCCGTCAAACACAACACCGACACCGATGGTCACATCGTCAAATATAAACATAGTCACTACGTCTAAGTAAGTATTGTAACGGATGGTAATATGACGCGATAAATGGTGCAAATACTTAAAAGATTTATTACAAAAGTGTTACCATTTTATAATAGGATTATATTATGTAGTACATAAGGCGATTGCAGAATTATATTACTGTTGTGAACTGGCATTGTATGCACAATTGTGTTATATATTTTATAGATGGAAACCCCGCAATATGTATGTTATATCTCTTTGTAAGATTTAATCCTGTGTATTGAAATTACAAATATCAATTAAGAAATTATCAATAGGATTACTATTAAATGTGAATAAAAATTATAAACATATAGTACAAGAAAGCGGTAAATAAACCTATTTTTATAAATGACTACGAAATACCAGAAACATGAAATACATACTCGATCTCGTTCGTTCCAGATCGAAAAAAGAAACGGCAAATAGTAATGGTAAAGAGTACGGCAGCAACGGCAACAGCAAAGAGGCGTGGCCGAGCCTCGGCTCCTCCCCTCCCGCAGACAGCCCCGCCCGCAAACAGACCAGCCCCAAACCACACCATTCTACAGGTAACACACACATCAGAAAATCTTCAAATATTAACATAGAAGTTTTTTTTAATTCCTATTATCTTGTATTCCAGTTAAATTACAAGAAAACGGCACGTCAGAATCATCCAGTCCGACACAGCAACAAATACAACAGTCTCAAACGAAACACAACAAAGAAAATCACACGGAAACAAAAACGAACAGAACCCACAAAGAAATGACAAACGGCCAAAGCAAGAAGAGTAAATCAGAAAACAAAAACAAACAAAAGAACAATAACAATAGCAATAGCAACAGCAACAGCAACAGCAACAGCAACAGCAACAGTACCAGCAGCAGTAACAGCAATAGCATTAGTCAAGAAGTAACAGAAGAGCCAGCGGAAAGTACACAAGTATTCAATAGCACAGAAAACCACAGTTCAGTGTTCGAAAGTGATACACAACAAAGTTACCTCACAAACGAACTAGACGAATTAGAATCTGACAGACATAGCCTGTTAGAAAACCATGATTTATTAGACAACAGTGATCACAGTCTCTTAGACGATGATAATACACATAACCTTCTAAATGATGCTAATAATGTTGTAGTAATGATGCAAACTCATAGAGAAATGCTCGCAGGACTAGTCGATAATAATCACATACTAGCACACAATATGAAGTCACCTCTAGCTAATGGCTATGGGTTATTAGACAGGGAGGTTAACTATTTAGGTAATGACAGACAAATTAGCCAAATTAACCACGGTATCATGGAACAGAATGAAATGATGCTCCACGAACAGAGGAACCATAATGAAATGCTCATGAGAAATGAAATATTGGCCCGGCATAATGCAATGGTTGAACAAAAACATTATATGCCCACCTCTAGTATAGGACTCGAGACTGCTAGTGAATTATTAGGTAAAGTATTATTTTGGAATTATAGCTCTTATATTGAAATATATCAATTTTAGCTTTGAATCGAATTCAGCTATGACTGATATTTAGTTTTTAAAAAGGATAATGGTTCACTTACCCACCATTATACTAAAGAATATTCAAAAAGTCAAGTAATTTTGTATTTATTGTGTTTATTTAAATTTGACGTATTTAAGTATCTTGTATCTTCCAGGTGCTAATTTCCATCAAAATCACAATATGCTTCCACCGTTCGGTATGCGTATAGACAACTCAATGGGCAGCGGCAATTCAATATCTAACTCTCTATCGAATAACTCCGTGAACAACTACATGCTGCAGCACCAGCAGATGTTGCAGAACCAGCAACAGATGCCGCAGAATAACCTCGTCAATGGATTTGATACGCCACAATCTGCGGTAAGTAATGATACAGTTTTCTAGATTATACTTGAAGCGATTATGGATTTTAGAAAAGCCTTTGATAGTTTCTATCACGGAATTGTATTAAATAATAGGCCATGTTTTTGTTTTAATATTATTTATTATACTAGGTAATTGTATTTAATTGCAAAAACGTCAATAGATTTTATTATTGTGATTTTATTTCTAAATTTTCATGAATAATGATGGTATTCCCCAAGGAGTCATACTAGGCCCACATATAATGTTGTGGATTTAAAAGGAGTTTTGATTTATAACAATTCAGATACTGGCTGAAGATTATGAGTGTATCAAATGTAGCAAAGTTACTGTTAGTTAAGAATAAAATGTGTCTGAAAGTTCCTGGGAAATATTAATTTTACTTTCTTACTAATGTTATAAATGCGAAAGTTAAGATGGATGGATGTTTGTTAGAGTTTGTAGCCTAAACGGATCTCGATAAAATTTGGTGTATACGTAACTGACAGTCTGGAAGAGTACATAGGCTACACTTTTGTTTTTTAATGCTACCCGGGCGGAGTCACGGGCGAAAGCTAGTAATGAAGTAATTTTTATGTTTCCAATGTGGTGTACAGAGCGAAGGACGCTACTTGGCGGAGAACATGGACAAGTTCTTCACGGACTTCCACAAGGCGCAGCAGCTGCGGCAGATGTCGCGGGAGGCGGAGGAGCGGCGGTACGCGCTCGCCGCGCCGCACTACCCGCACAACATGCTCAGTGCAGAGCGGCTGGAGATGGAACACAAGCAAAGGTGCGTTCGAATACTAACTTTTACTAATTTAGATGAAATGCAAATACAAATATTTTATTGGTAAGAGAATTACAAGTCATTATGTTGAAAAATAAAAATCTTTACAAATATTCCAAATAAAAATTGTGTACATAAAACAATCATGGTAGGAAAAATTCTTCGGCACTATAGAAGGCGTTTATATTAGCCATGACTTAAATTTATTTTTAAATGACGCGAGGCTGGTAGCCGCTGTGACGTGGTCCGGCAGCCGGTTGTAGACGGCGGGCCCCATGACGTGCGTAGATTTATCGGTCTTGGCCAGTCGGTGCGCCACTGGAGCCAGCTTGTCCGCGCCGCGAGTCACCATCCTACGGCTGCCGGACTCCTTTTGCGATTATAGTTTGTCTAAATAAGATAAATTAGTTTGAAAACATTTGACAATTTATTTATCTATTCATTAAATACATTAAAGAGTTTATTTAATTTTATCAGACACTCTTAAGAACACCAACATGATGAATAAACATAAAAAACGTACATAATAATAAGAATGTTACACAAACATACTGGCTTTTAAAATATGAATTTCACATTTATAATAAAAAAAAAATCTAAAATCTCAATTCACACATTTCTGTTAAAATATAATTATATTAAATAAACTGACCTTATTTTACGATGTTAATTAATCATCGGCCGAATATTGAAACGAATTTTTCACACATCGCTTCAGCAGTAGCGCTTACATTCGCCATCATACACAAGACAACGCAACCCTGTGATTTTAGTCACTAAGTTGCTTACGCAATATAACGTTGTAAGTCAGCATTGCGAACCTCTATGAAAATGTATTGCATAAGTTATTTTTAAGCCAAAATTACAGATTTGTTTTGTTTACGAAGGTGCCAAGCGTTACCTTATCACTAAAAACGCTGTTACATATTTAAATGTAGTTTAATTTGTACTACAGGATGAGCTCTTTGCGCGGCGCTGCGGGTGAGAACTGCGGAGGTCGTGCGGCGGGCGACGGCGATGATGACCTCGACTTCGACCCCTTCAAGGAGACGCAGAAAGCGCTAGCAGAGATGATGGAAACTGAAATGATGCTCAACACCATCTCTAGCGGGTACGCATTCACAAACATCTGATGTACAGTAGCATCAGAGAAATAATTAACCCCTAAATAAAACTGATCGAAATGTCAAAAACATATATCTGACGACAGACAGTTATGTCACAAAATTAAATATGCTAGTACGTTCAACTTTACATGACTATGCCAGTAGCTGGCGTACTAGTATACCAGCTACTGGCATGTGTATTCCCGCCTTAACTTTTAATAAGTCACTAAGCGATATCGTCAATCGAAAATCAATTTGTCTAAGGGGCTGTTACGTTGAGAAAAACCTATCAAAATGTACTTATTTGGTCGATAATATGCTGTATTCATGTAATATAACATATAATGTATTGCAGAGACAATATGGAGCGTGTACATCGCGCGCGCATCGCACCGCCCCCCGGCTTCGGACACCTTAACGCATTCGGTATGGGCGTGCCGCCCCACCACCAGCAGCACCAAGGTAAACGCAAATACAACTAGAAGTATGCATCAAATTAGATATCTAAAACACAATAGGAATTGAAAATGATCATAAAATTAAATGTTTCCTATAGTAGAGTAGAAAAATCTCATAATTATTCTGAATAGTGGTTAATTTATTACATTGCAAATGGTCTGGCTACCTTACTACTTTGAAGCTCTGTCACTTGCAGGGCATATATAGCATTACTCTTAAAAATACATACTCTTTACAGAAAAACATGTGATTAATAAGAAATCCACTCACAAATCCAATATAAAATATTGCAGGTTACAACTCGAACAGCACACAGAACGTGTTCTCGGATTGGACGCAGATGGACCCCGCGATAATGTCCACCTCAGTCAGCTTCGGCAAGCAGGGCCACGCCCAGCCACACCCGCAGCCTCACGCCCAGCCCCACTCCCAGTCTCACCCCCAGCCCCACGCCCCACCACATGCCCAACCCCACCCCCCACCTCATGCCCAGCCACACGCCCAGCCTCACTCTCAGCCTGGCCTCACACCACAACAGCAGGAGCTCTTCGCAAGGTTCAACCAGCTCAACGTGCAGCCCAACGGCATCTCCAAACACCAGGTTTGTTAAAATAAAACTGGTTTACTTCCCTAATAGCTTAGGAAATCTAATAACACCACATTCTTCAAAATTAGTTATATTTAGACTACGGAAATAAAAGTAAATTATACAATGCCATTTTTTAAACATAAAAACTAAAACGAGTAAGTGGCCACTTGAGTTCGCCAAAAGTAGCGATGTCATTGCCCATAGATGCCTTTGTAGAAGCGTTTCCTATATTTCTACCTCCTAAGCGTAACTTCCCCTATTAAATCTAAATTCCCTTTCCTGTCTTTTTTTTTTTTAAAAAAAGGATGAGACGAAGTGTCAATGGAATGACTCACATGAGGAGTATTTTATGTGTGGACGTGGCAATACCAATAATACCTGTGAGGGTAACACTTGTAACATGTTATTGCGGCCTCTGCCAGTTATAAAGATTGTGTTGATTGTGGCTAAATTTTTGTATAATTAAAGTTGTGTTGTGCGTGTAGATGTCAGCGGGCGCGGGGGGTGCCGGGAGCGCGGCGGGCGCGCAGTGGGGCGGCGGCAAGCTGTGGGGCGCGTACAGCATGCCCATCCCGCCGGGGTTCGCGCCGCCGCCCGCGCCGCAACACCCCGCGGAGTGCATCGACGCCAAGTAGCCGCCCTCGCCCCATCTCCCTCTCCCTCTCGCAGCGGATATTATATTTTCTATCAATTAAAACAATTTATCTCTATTCTTCCGTTGGTGACGTGATCGATAAATCTTTGTAATAAGAGAGCATATTTTAAACGAGAGAAATATGATAACAAAAAGGAATTTGTAAAATAAATTAACCTATTTGTTTTATTTAAAAAGATGTTGATTTTTTCTTTATTTTTTTATGTCTTCGCAATGTCGACCGGACGCGGCCCGCGGTGACCGCGTCTCAAATATCTTAGTAATGTTTCGTTTCACAAAATATATGTATATTCGTTGTATTATAACTTAGTCTCATATCCCTGTTAAAATGAAATTATTTTTTGTATATATAAATGAAATGCCAATAATGCGGTTCCATTTTGTACCTTATTGAGCCATTATCAATGAACATTATTAAAATTGAGGAATTATTAGCCGTTATTTTAATGAACCTTGTACGAAACTGTCGACAACCGAAATACTAATTTCCTTTAACACTCCCATATCCTGCAAGATGACTTATTTCCGAAAAAAAAATACAAACAATTTAATCGTTTTTAATTTCAACAAAATGAAGCAGTGAAAATATACAAAATATTTTACTTAAACTATTGTCTGTATCTTTCAGTTGTTGCGTTACTTCTTGTCAATGTATCCTCTAGGATCAGGTCCATCCCACGGAACAACATCACCATTGTGCCACAAGTATCGACCGCCGTTCTCCGAATCTAACGCCACTTTGACCACAACTTTGGCAGCTTGTTCTGGAGAAACATTGCCCGATCCTCGCGTCATGTCAGATATTACATAGCCGGGATGCACGCAGTCTACTTTGATGCCTGAAATATTGTTACATAAGAGAAATAGACGAAACCAATACATTAATTCTGAATTATTTAAAGGATAATTAAAACGTTATGGCAAAAGTTGTCACAAACATGAAACTAGTCAGAATGAAAATTGACAAAGTAGAATACTATATAATCGATGTCATAGATATTAGTTTAGATATTTGTGTGCTTAAATTCATCGTTTATTAGGTAGCCAAGTAATTAAGTATTTAGTTAAAACCTAGTCGTTTTACCTTTATCAGCAAATCTCCTGTTCAACATGAATGTATATGCATTAACTGCAACTTTCGATACAACATACGGTGAGTCGCCCCAACCATCTTCGATTTCCTTGTTTTCTTTCACAGCTACTAAATAATCGATCATTAGATCTTGTAATTCTTTTAAAGTTAAATTTGGTGAACTTATCTTTTCTCTAAGCTTTTCTGACGGTATTCGTGATAAATGTCCAGAGGAACTGGATATGTTTACTATTTTCCCGCCAATCTCAATAAATGGCAACATTGCTTCAGTAAAATTAACTAACGCTGTAAAGTTTACGAGTATTGTTTGTTCAGCTTGAACGTATTTTGGTTCCTTAGCATCGTTAAGATATAGTATACCTGCATTGTTAATTAATAAATTAACTTTTTTCTCTTTACAAATGGATGAAGTGAATCTCAAAACACTTTCTGTATTTCCTACGTCTAATTGATGGTATTTAGGATAGTAACCTAACTGATTAATTTGTTCGCAAGCGTGTAAACCTCTCGTCTCATCTCGTGAAGTTAAATATACAATTCCATTGATGTTTTCACATAACTCTTTTACTAGAGAAAAACCTAATCCTTTATTTGCACCGGTCACTATAGCCACTTTGTTGCAAGACATTTTATACTAAATACATCAAACTATTTCAGTTATTAAGATAATGTAGTTTCGAGATCATTCACTGTGGTAAACATCGAGAGATACAAAACTGTTAGCAAAAATTGAGTATAACATAACAGCTGTAAGATAACATGTTGAAGGTCATCTGCGTAGATTATAAATTAAATGTCGCCAAACTATGAATGCTGCCCGTTTGGAATTTGTTTAGGCAAATTGTAAAGTCGACAAGTTGCTATCGTATCGAATGTACTATGTAATGCACAGCACAATGTGACCTGTTATTTTTCGACTTCCTACTTTGCTACTGTGGTCCTCTGATGTTTTCTTCTAAGTTTCAAATTAAGAAAATTAAGATATAAGCTAAAATAAAAACTTAATACAATGATGACCCTGCTATTCCCCGCCAAAAGTGAAATTCCGAGTTTTTACTGACAGTTGAAGACAAGTATTGCTATTACAAAAAAAAATCTTTGCAAAGTATGGAATATTTTTGGATTTTAACCTGAATAACTCTTCATTGTGTGGCTTTTTGGAAATAACTAGAAATGATAAATAAATGTATATAACTGTTTTATCTAGTTTTGTAAAACATCTTAAAATCATGGACACAATAGTAATGACTAGTAATGACCATCTCGACACTTTCTTTTTTTATTTATGATCTTTTGGGTGTCAATTTAAGAGTGAGTAAAACATATTTATAAAATACAATTATCATACGGAGCACGGGTAAATAAAAGTATGTAATGGTATCACAGTACAGTGGCGCGCCTTGGTTCGACAAGGTACCTTACTGTACCCTACCGGGTGTTCGAGATTCGAGAGTGAATCCATCGCGTATGAATTGTCGTGTGTCATTGCAAGACAAAGTTTACATGTTTTTCATATTTTATCGCTAAAATTCCTTTTAATTATCATATGTTGACGTTTGTGTGATTATGTGTTATCACCGTAAGTGTGCCCGAGGTGTATGATAAGGGTAAGTTGACTGTTTATTCACTTGATCATTTCAGACGGTGTTGCTAAAAAACTATATCACATTGTTCTTATTAGAATTTGTAATAAATTATTTTAATATTTAAAGTTATCTTTGTTATAATAATTTTAGATTCAATAAGTGTATTATTTATGTTTCTATAGTAAAAATTCGTATAGGTAATCAATTAAAAAGGTACTTATTTTTGACATTGATAAGTTACAATCAAGTGTTTTAAGTTTGTAACGTAGACCGGTTTACGAGGTTTAAAGTTTGTTTGACTTCGTGGATTCTTATTGGAATCAAAAATATAACAATTACAAAGTAATTAACAAAAAAACTATGCAAAATTACAGGTATTATAAATTAATTTTAACTAAAAAATTCACTTCTCCTTGTAATGATTACAATTGAATTGAAAATTCAGCTACAGAAAATTAAAAACACTGTATTATATTATTACAGTGTATAATATTGTTTATTTATTTAATAACTGCATAAAATATAGGCTTGTTAATTTTTTTTATCCCTAACCTTACTTGTTAACTTGTAAGAAATAAAGTGACCTTCAAGTAAATTTAACATAGCAGATAATATGTAGTGACTTAAATAATTTACACTTAAAAAAATCAATACATTCCTCTTTAGGTTTCTACAACTTTTTGTAAGTTTTCAGTCACACAGTTTTAATGCAAACTTAATATCTGTTAGCTAATTTGAAAATGGAATTTCAATAGGATACAGAACTATTTTGATTATGCATCTAAATATAATGCTACCCTCATTTTAAACTGCTGTTTTAAATATTTAATTACCTTGACTTTTATAAAAACAAAGTGAATATTTTAATGAACATTGGCAAAGTAAAGATGATAAATTCAATAGAGATTCTATAATATATAAATTTAACAGATTGAAGTCAAGTCCATAGACATTTTAGCTATTTTACTGATGTTCTAAATGTTTAAAAACTTTGATTTTTGTCCAGTTACAATAACTATGCATTTCCACAGCCAAAAAAATTGTAAAAACTATTACTACCTTAATAAGAAAATATCATATACAAAAAACAGATATAAATATGTCTACTATCAATGGAGTTGCATTTAAAATAAATGAATAACCTTTCATTGGTAACAAAAACAAAATACAGTGAAATAAAAAAAAACTTATATGAAAATATGTAACAGATGACAAAATGTGGAGGCACAGCCTTATCAATACTGGTTGAGGTCCAGTGTCTTATTGGTTTTCAGTTTTCAGCCACCCTTTGCAATATTTTATGGGACCTCTCTTGTAATTGCATGTAAACACATCTTACATGAACTAGATGCCAGTTATTTTTATTTAAATTTGTAATGCCTGAGATATTAAACAATTGATATATGATATCCAGTATTTACCTTGGACGCTAGCAATGGTAACTGAGCCATAACTATAGATCATACAGTTTTACATATGTAAAAGCGTTATGTACACATTTCAATGATTAGTATGTGTGTCTACACTTAAAACTTCTGTTTTGCCTTACTGCAACCTATAACAAGAAACTTATTTTTTTAACACCTGTCTTCTGAAGTAACACTACATCTAAGATTGGTCTTAATCATTTTAAACACCATCGGCCAGTGAAAACATAAATAAAGTAAATTTAATTATTAGACGAAAACCATACTATTTGTAAATCTTTGTATTAACTATGAGATAAAGAAACATCACACTTCAGAAAAAACCTTTGGACATTAGGCCATTGTCTTTTTTATTGACCGACTTCCCAAAAGAAGGAGGTACTCAAGTTGTCTGTATGTTCTTGTCTTTTTGATTTTTTGTATGTGTGTTACGACATAACTCCGCCACTACTTTTTTTATCCGAAAAGTCACTACTTTTCGGATCTTGCAGATGGGTCCCATTTTTTTGATTGATTCTTTATACAAAAATGCGTAAAATAAAGCATTAACCGTACAAATATGTTCCTGCGCAAGTCAAAGTTTGTAGCCAAATATGCGCACAATGATTACATCTGAATCTCGCCGCGTCCGATTGCCAACCTAATTGGTCTAATGAGCGCGCGCGCACTGTTCACTCTAATTAATTGTTTCCATTGCCTCTAACGAGTTCGTTCCCGTGAGATATCTATCAATTTTCGTATTACATTCAATCGAATTGTATTTATCGATTTTTTTAAATATTGTGTTAATGACATTTTAAAGAGCAAATTAAAACTTATAACTCTGAGTGGAAAAACTTAAATGTGGCAACCCTAACACACCGGACGACAGCTCGCTCTAATTAATTGCTATGGCCGTTAACGAGATCCCTTGAGGTATCCGCGTTTGTATCAAAGTATCAAGTAAAGTTACGCTTTCTAGCGTATTTAAATTCTAAAGAGAGAGACATGGTATCAAGGGTTAGGCTCGTTTATTGTAGGAATCTTCGATCTTAGCAACCTTTACCTTGTATGTTTAAAGTTAGTAATGCTTTCAGACACTCATTAAAATATTTACGGTCAAATACTTTAATGAGTGTCTGAAAGCATTACTAACACTTTCGACAGTGGTAGTGCCCGCTTTAACATCTTAGCACGAATGGGCCGGCACGCCCGGTGTAATACCACGACCACACAGAAAACAGGCGTGAAATGGAAGCAATTCCGTGTTTCGTGTGACAAGTGTGGTGCCGGAGGCCTAATTTAAGTCCCTTTCTCTTTACTACCCTTTTCTTATATGGAGAAGTTGGGAAGAGGAAGTGGATTTGACGGTGGAGGAGATGCATAGGAAGGGGAAATAACCTCTTTATGTGCGTCTCCTCCTCCGTCGTATAAGGGTAGGCAACGCATCTGTAATTGCGGATGTCTATGGGCAGCGGTCGCTTCGCCATTTTGGCGGTTATAGGTGGCCGCTTGCTCGTTTGCCACTTTATGTTATAAAAAAAAAAAATACTGAAACGAAATTTTACTTACAATCAAATAGACGTCATTTTACGACGGCGTTTTAGTATTCGGCCGTTAGGACTATCTTGTTTTGTGCCGAAGGTTCCGGTGTGTTCCTTGGAAATCTCGGAACCTTCGACTATGTCACTGGAGGATGGCCACCGAGGGGGTTTTGATGGGTCAAATCCTACATAACCTTGTCTTCCGCCTAGAAGGCAATTTATGTTTGGTATTTTGTTGAAAGTATATAACAAACGTATATAACATTCGCAAATCGTGCAATAATCGCAAGGTTAAAATTATGTACATATTGAAGGATAGTACTTCCTCTGTAAACTCATTTACATGACAGGCATTATAATATTTGATGTCATAGAATTCTTGTTACAAAAGTTGCGTGTTGCATGGCGTCGTGCAATGGCAGCCTCACAGCGCATCGTAATTGGCTTAACTAGCTATTGCTCGAGTCTCTTCGAGTGCTGTATGGTGACAGCGCAGCTTCTTTTCCACGGACACTGTATCAATTATGAAATTTAAATTTAATTATTGATATTAAAGCGATTTTGTTAAACGCATTTTCTTCTTCCTTTTCTCAGTACCATCGTCCCCTGCAAAAGAGGAGTGTATAACTACGGAAACTTCTTGAATATTTTTAGTGCTATTGAATATTTTACACTTTTTTATGCGAAATAATAAATCATTTAATTCAATAATTAAATGCGAAAAATCGCAATTGTTTCACATTGTTCTATGATGGTGTTTTGTATCGCGTATCTTTATGGTTACCCTACATTAACTGTTAAATAAATTCCTTTCGCAAAAACTATTGTATTGTCATATTTGCCTGTATATCTGCAGGAAGTCGCCAAGGTTTGTATTACCTGTGTAATCAATTAAGTTAACCCACTTAAGTTGCATTGAATTTTATGACATTTCAACCTGTACTTGAAGATACTTCTATAGATAACGCAAAAAATAAAAGTTTATTGGATTTCACACGTCTCATAAATGTTCTTACTAAAAGGCTTGTCAACTTCAAACTAAGTTAAAATGGTTTGATTAATAAATTGGTGAGTTTTTATGTTACAAGTTAGTTTGTGTAATGGGTACGCTGTTTATGATGTTTTTGAAAATCCGAATAAAATTAAAAATAAACAAAAATGAGTAGCCTATTTATTTCAGAGTATCATCTACATCTATGCCAAATTTCATTGAGATTTGTTCAGCAGTTTAGGCTACAAACTCTTACAAACCATCTATCGAAACTCTCGCATTTATATTATAGTAAGATATTAAGATTGATTTTGTTTCCAGTGTCGAGACAACAATCCAAAATTTTTTTTTTTCATAATATAAGGCGGCAAACGCGCAAGCGGCCACCTGAAACCGCCAAAATGGCGAAGCGACCGCTGCCCATAGACATCCGCAATTGCAGATGCGTTGCCTACCCTTATACGACGGAGGAGGAGATGCACATAGAGAGGATATTTCCCCTTCCTATGCACCTCCTCCACCGTTAAATCCACTTCCTCTTCCCAACCTCTTGTAAGAAAAGGGTGGTAAAGAGAAAGGGACTTAAATTAGGCCTCCGGCACCACACTCATCAGACGAAACACGGAATTACTTCCATTTCACGCCTGTCTTCTGTGTGGTCGTGGTATTTCACCGGGCGTGCCGGCCCATTCGTGCTAAGATGTTAAAGCGGGCACTACCACTGTTAAAATTATGTTGTAATCAATGTACCACTGTTAAAATCTGTTGATATCCCGCTCTCTCTGTACTCTTCTCTTTCTTTTTTACGGGTTTTTACTTCAGAATAGTATCCAGTCAATGATTTAGTGCAGCTGAACTCGGTGACAAATGAAATACTCGACCCATTTCTGATGCTTCAATTTATGCCGATTTTATTCGTTTTTTTCATCGTTATTTTATAGGAATCGTTGATATCTTTTCTATTGTTATAATTTGGTGTTAAGATAAGTTTTAGAAAAAATCAACGAGATATGAAGAAATGGGATAAAATTCAATCTTCTATGAGTTTCGATAGAAGAAAAACACTGTTATTTTTTTAAT